TCCCTCTTTTCACTTTCACCTTGTCACTCTCAGTATGAATCAATCGATAGCTCAATCAGAAAATCGATACATTTTTATTGACTTGCGTCTGGTTAGTAACTAATTATAGTAATTAAATGAGTTAATAGCAATCATGCTGTGATCATGCGGCGCATGTCAAATCAATATTTTTCTAGTGTTTATCGTTTTGTTTTTTTAGAAAAAGAAAAGGATAGCTGGGAGATGTGCAAGGGTCTTGTTACTTCCAAGCATTCTTGGCACTTACCCAAAGCGATCACCAACCCCGAGATAGTGGTAACGAACACCTCTAAAGCGTATTAGCCGACACGTAGAGCGAAGAGAGAAGCGACAAGAAAGAGGCGCTACTCGCAACTATATTTACTGAGATGAAGAGAAGGAAGAACATCGTAAAAATTCATCGCTCCAATAAATAGGAAAAAAGGAAGAAAGATGAAAACTAAATAGTAGGGTGTTCCCTCGCAGACACGTGCTTCAGACACCAGGTCATTTGTTTAAACACCAGGTCCGTTGTTGGCCGTCATGTTGCCATCATGCAGGCTGTTTCGCACAAGTTTTGGCTCGTGCGGGCTCTTCATTGTCAAAGATGAATACAAGCACCTCATCCGTATTTGGCTCCCGCGTTGTCATCTTGCCTGATGTTCCGCGGCAACCGTGGTTCATGCTGTTTCTCCATTGTGTGTGTTAAAAAAGTCTATTTCCTCGTTTTGTTAGTGCAACTGATCCAACACTGATGCATTCGTTATCTGCAGATAGGATGTGGTAGGCTTCCAGTACCTCGCGGGTCAGTTGGTCTTTGTGCCTCCCATAGGATGCTTGTTTCCCCGAATAACAAACTTCATATATGCACTCATTACAATGTGCTGCAAGATGTCCTCCTACTGTGGCTCTCAGAGAGTAATCATGTAATCATGTTCGCGTAGTCTATCATTAAGGCATCTGCCCGTTTGACCGACGTAGCTCTTGCCACACGAGAGTGGTATGTTATACACAACGCCTGAAGTGCACGGAAGAAGAGGCTTGGCATGTTTCTTAGTGCACCCGGGTTTTGTAGCACCTTCGGCTAGCGAGTTTACTCTTGAGCAAATTTGGCTCATTTTTTTTACGGTGCCGAAAAAACAACTCAAACCCCAAAACGACTTGCTGCTTTTTTTTTTTTTTTAATTGTGTGAGGTTTTGTGTAGATACGGAATTACCACTGGTCATGTTTTGTCGACATCAGTTGTGAGTAGCGCTTTTTCCTGCCTCTTCTCTCTGCGTGTGCGCTAACACCGTTTCGATGTTTAAATACCAACTAGCCCAATTATCAACCTTTTTACGGCAACAAATACGTTTATTAATATATATATATATAGCAAAAAACTTGACCTGAGCCCGCTCCTCCTGCGGGGTGGCGAAATACACAGTGCGCTTGAACGCTTACAACAGTGGCTACAATAGGCCGTGGACGGGCGACGTCTTCTTGGCTGATGGCCCCCAACGAGCCAATGCATCCCCGCGACGGTCACCCCTGGGGCGCCGCGCGTGTCAAAGAAACCGAAAAAGCAAAACATCGCAAAACTATGTTTGCGCCCTCTTCCAATTGAAAAAAAAAAAAAAAAGAGGGAGTGTGCGGAGTTGGGGGGGGGGGGGGGGGGGGTGAGGAGTGTACGTTTGTGAGATGTGGCTAAACGCGTGTAACAGGAAAGCACGGGAAGAGCACGGTTCCATAGAAGACAACATCCACAATATAGGAGTCGTAATAGAATAATCACGTGGTCCAATTCCAGTCGAAAAAACAGTACCACTATGGAAAGGTAGTCTAGGTTAATGCTCTTATTGATGCAAGTGTTCCTGGACTCTCATTTATTCCTTTTTTCATAGTGTTGAAATTGTGTATGAGGTATGACTCTCGCTGTTCGCGCTCCCGGTTTGATCGAAATCCAGTTTCCAGTAATGTCACAGATAATTCGTCGAAAGAATGCTCTGGGAGGCGAAGGTGTTTTGAAAGAGGGAGGCCTGGATTAGTTTTAGAGTGAGATCTGTGGTTGTTAAAGCGTAGTCTAAACGCCGCCTCGATCGGTCCTACGTATTGCATTTTGCGTACTCTACACTCTAGCAAGTACACTACGTTTGAAGAGTTGCATGTCAGTTCCCCTTTAATTTTCATTGAGTACTGCGAATGCGTGCTTTTGGCTGTAGGCTGTTTGTTGAATTTGTAGGTAGATTAAACACTGCGGTGTATTACAGGGCCTGCAACTGAGAATTTACTAACGTGTCTCTAATGTTGCGTGATCGTCTATAGATCACCCCCGGCGGGGAGGGAAATGCGCGTTTTATGCGGTCACTTTGCTCGAACATGTTTTAGTGTCGTCTTAAAATATTATTTACGCTAGGAGAGTTAGTGCTATTGGCAACGTGTGCGACCGAAAGCGTCGCTTTGGTCGGCCTTCCAGCCGCCTCGGTGGCTCCGAGGCGAGAGCGCCGGCCTACGGATCCCCAGGTGGCGGGTTCGAATCCCGACCGAGGTGCCCGCAATATGACGGAGGCTTATTGCGGAGAAGGCGCCGTGTAACCGAGCTTTCGGTTGCACGTCAAAAGATCCCCAGGTGGTCGAAATTAATCCTCAGTCCTCCGCTGGGGCGTGCCAGATGCCCGTCGTTGGTTTGGCACGTAAAACCCCCAAATTTGACTTTTTTTGGTCGGCCTTCCACGATTGGTCCAAAAGCTGACTATGACGTCGGAAAGGGTATACCATCGACGGTAATACGAGGAATGAAAGACCTTTAATTTCGATGGTGCATGTGTCAGTGTTGCTTTGAGAGCGCAATGATTTCAGGCTTCCACCATGCTATTTACAAACACCATCGAACTTGTTGTTCGCAAGGTAATGACGTCACAAGGGGGAACCATAGGAGGGCGCCACCAAAACATCTCGCCGCTAATAAGTGAGACAGATTTGTGTGTTGTGTGTTGCTCTGCGGGGGACGGTCCTCCAGGAGGTCGCTGTGGTTCAGCGTTCTGGCTTTATGGATCGCATTATCAATTATACGAAGTGGATATTTTTGATGTGTCAACACGTTCTTAAGGTTTTGAGCGCTCGCGTCAAAATCATTTTTGTTTTAACAGATGCGTTTGAAACGTTGGGCCTGGCTATAGGGTATGGTGTTCTTGCAGTGACGTGGGTGGTCGCTCTTGTAATGAAGGTAATGTTGCTGATCTGTTGGCTTGCGATAAAGCTTTGTTGTTAATTTCCCATCCTTTATTTTAAGGGTCCCGTCTAAGAAGTTAATGTCGGTTTGAGATTAAGTGTGAGTGAAACGAACGTGGGGGTGGACAGCGTTGTAATTAACCATGAAGTCCTTCCTGCAGGTCCGCCTCGCCGTGTGTCCAGATAAAAAAAAAAATATATCATCTATGAATCTTTTGTACAGTAGTGGTTTTAATGGGTAATCGCACAAAAATTGTGATTCCAACTTCCCCATAAGTGTTAGCATAACTGGGTGTCATCTTGGTTCCCATTGCAGTACCGCTAACTTGTCTAAAATATTCATTATTAAATTCAAATGCAAATGAGGGTCGCAATGGCGTGACCATCTGGGCTCTCTTGTTTTCTTTGGGGCTCGTAAATATAAACTAATCCGTTGTCGTGTGGAATGTTCGTTTACAATGAAGACACGTCCAGGGTTACAAGATATGATCCTTTCGGTATATGTAAATTTAATATATCCCTGAGGAAGTGGGTAGTGTCCTTGACATGCGAATCGAAAGTTGTATACGTATGTGCTGAATTAGGTCGCCTACATAGCCCGATAGAGGTTCCGTTATTGTTCGTATACCGGATATGATTGGGCGACCTGGATGACCACTTTTGTGAATTTTCGGAAGCATGTAAAAGCGACCGGGGGATGGTTGCTTTGGCTTCATTATATTATATTCATTAACAGTTATCTTGCCTCTGTGTACAAGTTGTTTGAGCTCTGACGTTACGATCTGAGCGTGGCGTTTCGTAGGGTTGCCTGGAAGACACTCATAAAATTTGGATCGTTTAGTTGGCGGTACCCTTCCCGAACATAATCGTCAGAACTGAGAATCACAATCGTCCCTCCCTTGCCTGCCGGCTTAATTGTGGTGTCTTTTCTAGTGCTTAGTGATTTCAAAAAGGTTCTCCCATAGATTTAGTTAGGTTGTCCCGTCTTCCTTTGTACCTGTGGTATTCCAGGCCGTTGTTGCGATCGGTCTTTGGAGCCCAATCGTTAGTTGGACGTGGCTGTGTGTTTTTGGAGTTGGACGGTTTATCTACAAAGTATTCCCGCAACTTTATATTTCTGGCAAAGTTATCCAGGTCTTGGAGAACTTGGAACTCATCAATGTAACCAGTGGCAGGGCAAAAGTTTAGTCCTTTAGAGATGACTTTTTCTTCTTCGGCTGACAGAGTAATTCCAGACAAATTAACGATAGTGCATGTACCACTCGCCTGGTCTTGCGTGGGGTGTCTCCCCTCCCGCAGTGTGCGTACAGTCCCTTCCCAGACTTAACCACCTATAGGTCTGGGAATGGATTCCTCGGTTTGGCATCGCTGGCATCATGGTCTGGAGGGACCGCGTAGGATTGTAGTTTCTTTAGTGTTGCCAGGTCTATTTGGTATCTGAACCTGGGTGTGACTGCTCCTCCTGTGCGTATGCCGCGGAGCATCACTGATTCTTTTCTTTTGAATTCTTCCCTAGGAAGAGCCAACCCCGAGGGAAACTCATCTCGCGCTGTATTAACATCTCTGTCGCAAATAGCCATTTGCCAAAGCAGAGATTAGACGAAAAAAAAAAGTTTGTTTTAATTTAACCCGAAACACCTCTATGAGCTTGCTTTGCTATATTCTCTCAGCGCCAGAAATGGTATACTGTCTAATAAATAAGACATGTGTGCTTGCTCAAAAAAAAAAAGAAGAAGAAGATTGAGGTCTCGCGCCAGACGGAAGAGGCAGAAGGCGAGAACGGAACACCAGCATGAACCAGACCCAGTTACCGCAGCATCAGATTCACCAGGCGGCGCCCAGCCGTCAGCTGAACATCATTCTCTGCGTTCTGGGGGTCCTCGTGGTCCTTGCCAGCATCACCGTCACCACCTACAAGCTACACGATGGCAGCGCCATCTTGGCCTTCTTCAACAGGTCCATGTCGCTACTCGCCAACGACGACGGCAGCCCCGACTCGAGTTCCGCCGGAACGCCGAGACTGCCCGCTCACCTCCTCAAGCACGAGCTCAAGAAGTCAAACGCGGACAAAACGTGCAGGTCGGACGTCTGCATCTGGATGGAGGACTACCTCCGGGGCAAACTGAACGAGAGCGTTAATCCCTGCCACGATTTTTACGCGTACGTCTGCTCGCAGCGCTGGTTCGCCAAGGACCTCCGGGTCCAGGACAGTGTGTACCAGGAGCGAACGACCGGTATGATGATGTACGACATTGAGAAGTTCCTGGAGGACTACCGCAAGCACAACAATGAGAGGTACCATAAGTACCCGGGCGTTTTCCTGCACCAAGCGATTTCGTTGCTTCCCAAGTGCCAGTCCGAGGAGAAGGAGGACGTGAATATGACGGCTCTCAAAAGGCTCCTCGAAGAGTACAACCTGGGAGGCTGGCCGTACCGCAAGGTGCCTCGCGGCCTCAACGTCGTGACGGTCTCCGCGTTTGTTGATCGCGACTTGGGCGTATTCTCCTTCGCGAGGACTTATCTCAAGAGGCTTTTTGAAGGCGACCGCGGTTACACTGTCCACCTTGGTAGGCCCAGTTCCACTCTGAAGAGGCACCAACTTGCTTTCCTGAACGAGAACGTCGAAAACTACACGCAGAAAGTGGCCCTCGCCCTAACGTTAACTGACAGGCATGTTGACGTCACGGAACTGGCCGAAGCCATTGTTCTCTTGGAGAAGAAATTAGTCGCTGCAATGCCGGTCGTCAAGTTCGTCACATTCCAAGACCTGATGATGCGCGTCGATGAGCTGTACCTCAAGGGAAAATGGGACTGGAAAAAGTATTTGAACATAATTTTTCACGACATCGAGAGCTTCGACAATGAGAAACCGGTGGCGATAATGGACCACGAGTATGTCACCCGAATGGCTGCCATCGTAAACGAAACAGACACGGTGACATTACTTAATTACATTGGCTATCGCCTGCTGGTGCATGTGTCCCCCATCCTGGCTAAGGCCGCTAGCCCCCTTTTAAGACTGAGTCACGACAACTATCGTGAGTTCGTTCCTGACAGACTCCAGGCCTGCATGCACCTTCTCGAACGAGTGTACAAGCAGGGAATGCGCTTCTTCGCCAGGATGACGTTCAGCAAGAATAACTCGACGCTGCTGCTGAAGCACTACGACCACAGCATGTCCAAAGTCGAGGTACAGCTAAAGAGCAGCATGACGGACAGGTTGCTCTCCACGTCGTCCTGGCTCGACCGCGCCGCCATAGGAGTTGGCGTGGACAAGCTGGAAAGCATGAAGCTCGTGTTTCTGGGAAGCACGGACGCCATCAACACCATCGTTAGCTATTACAACTTTAACGCGCAACCGCTAGATCCTGACCGCCTTCTTGAGAGCTTCAGGGACCTCCAGACGGGAACGATGAACACCTACTGGGAGACGAAGCCGCCCAAGGATGATTTGGACGCGAGGTATGAACTCTCTTCGCTGTCACCCGGGTTTGAATACTTCCACGGCAGGAACGTGCTGTTCCTCCCGCACGCGAACATCGCCTTCCTCAATGACGTCACCAGGACCATTGATCCCGTCTTGTACCCCATCCTTCTTGCCGACGTCCTACGGGGCATGTTCGCGGCGATAGACCGCCGAGGCTCCACGGTTGACCAGAGCTTGGCAGTGGCTAGCTGGTGGAACGCGGACGAACTAAGCCGGTTCTCCCAGATTGAGCTTTGCTTCCAGGACCAGTACTACGTCGAAATCAGGGACCTGCTGGGCGATCATTTAGATGCCGAGATAAGGCTAGACGAAAGCATCGCCGACAACGCCGTCCTGGCGCCCTTACACGACCTCTATCTCAAGACGCTCACGGTGCAGGGCCTGATCCCGGACAAGCTCAAGTTGCCACTTGACGCCGGTGACATGGACATGCATAGACTCTTCTTTGTCACTTACGCTCTGGGTCTGTGCGATAATCCGAGCCGGGAGTTGGCGATACGCAAGATTAAGTACGGAGTGATTCCCGGGAGGCTGCGAATCAACGTACCCCTTATGAACTTTGCCAAGTTCTCTGCTGCTTTCAACTGTCCCGTGGGTTCGGCGATGAATCCACAAAGAAAATGCACGGTCTGGTAACGTTCACGGGTTTTCCGGATACCGCATGTAAATTCTCTTCCGTGAGTCGGACAATTGTTAACATATTTCAAGATTCCCAAAAAATAAAATGTTGTCTCTCTCCTTGTATATCTATGTGTGTGTGTGTGTGTGTGTGTTGTCATCTGACCGCGCTCTAAGTTATAATGAAGGTTTTACATCTTGCAAAATAAGTCACCCGATCATCAACAATGACCAAGCACAATTACTGGCTCGTGAAGAATATTTATTGAATAGCGGCGCAATGGTGGCGGATTGGTAGCCACCTGTGCATGTTAGCAGATACAGCGCGGTGCTGTGCAGACAGTTCGTCATCGTTTAGTTTCTGGATTGTCGCGTGTCTTCTGTGTGGTCGAGGCGAAGTCATCGCCCTCGTCGTCGTTCACTGCGTCTCCGCCATTTATCGTTACCGCGGATATGGCACCAGGGCGCCCAGACGCCCTGCGAACTTCTTCCAAACTGCCACCCACTGTCGAAGTTCCATCCGTCCTTATGCTCAATGGCATTGTCCCTACATCCGCGAAGTCCTCCATCCATCCATCCACCTATTCGTTCAATCATGTGGTACATGCCTATCACCTCTGTCGCTGAGAGGTCATCGTCTTCGCTGAGGAGGACAGCGTTCGAGGGAACAGACACCCCCTCGAACGAAAAGAAGGGTCAAAAACACTTCCCGCTGAGATTTCGCCGGGACGACGACACTTGGAGAGAAAGAAAAGACACGACGTGGCCGGAAGAAAGTCCCCATCACAACACAGCCGAGACGAGAACTATTTTCTTCTTCCTCTCGTGTGTCTATCTGGCCGCCATCTAGCACGCACGCACATGTACAATACGCCTAAAGTACACATGCACAAACACACGTACCACGTGACCAGAACCAGACGGTGCACGCCTATGTGACCGAGAAAACTGTCAATTTCTCCTTCTCTTTTCCCCTCGTGGACTGCCATCAAAGTAAACTTCAGAAAGAGTAAGAAGAAAAGACTCTTCAAGACCGTCAGCTACACTGCACTCGCCACAAACGTTCTCAGAGATTTTCATTCGCCAAATGGTGCGTAGCTTCTGCAATAGAAAAAAAAAAGTATAACGAAAGAAGAATAGCAAAACCAAAGAAAGGGGCGAGAAACTACCAATTTTCCGGCAGCAACTCTCTGTCACCCCCTTCTCGCCTTCGGTGGGGAAAGAACCACCCCAAAGTGGGAAGAGTACCATCACTTTTCTTACTCTCTCTCTCTTTCTTTATGCTCTTGAAGGAGTGTACTATCACGACAGAAGAGACGACTCCGCACCGTCCTTCGCGACAGTCTCGACAGCAGGGTTCTCGCGGGCATGTCAAGATAGACCTGTTCTTGTCTCGGAATTACCGAGAAATGCATCGCAGCACGACACAACAGCGCGCATCAAGAAGCGTTGCTCGCTTGGACGCCCCAGCTCAAAAGGACAATGAATCGCTTTCGCGGCCGGAAAGCCCGCGTCGCCTAAGCGCAGAGAAGCAAAATAAATTTGTCGTCTGCTTTGTCCTTTACATTGCCATACGACAGAGAGAGAAAGAGAGGCATAAGTGGGGGTAGAGGCGATTTTCTAACGATAACGAGTTGCTGCCGACGCCGCGCAACCCCCAGCGATTCATATAAAGGACGTCGTAGGAAACTATTATTTCCGGACTGTTCGCAGGTCGCTGGCGGCAACGTTTTCGAGGAACAGATGGGTTTATATTGTATCCGCTGCGCGATGCGAGACGACGCGATGTGAGGCGAAGGGTATGCGTACGTTGTTATGCAAACGAGAAGGAAATGCGAGCTGCGGGAGAAATCTGAAGTAATGGGAAATGTCAAGGGCAGTCGAGGTAAAATGCAAAGAAAGAGGCGCAAACGGAGGGGGAAATGTCGTCAACCACGCATAAACAACGAAAGCAGAAGTACACGGAAAAGGAAGGTGATACAGAGGCGATGTAGTAGAGAGATCAGACACGGGCGTGATAAAAGAAACAATGGAAACAATGTCAGTGTGTAAAAATGTGTAACGAAAGCGGAGTGAATGCATTGAATCTCGAGCTCACTTTAATGAGGATAACCTCATGTGCATGAAGGCACCGTTGTTGTGTACACCCATCCGCGAACAGGACACATAGGTCTTCATGTGCCCAGTTTAAAAGTGCAAATATGTTGCATTTTAATTAATCAGCATTGTGAGAAGTGTAAGCTATCATTCTCATACGTATGTTTATCATCATAAAGGTGGTCCATACTCATCTCAACATTTGGGGGTTCCCCATCCACGTGCGTTCAACTTGTCCAGATTTTAATATGTACTATTACTTTTATTGCTTTGTGTATGTTTTTCTGCATAGCAGCATCGAGCCTAACTGCTGTCGGTACATGTGTACAAGGTTGCGTTTCTCTTTTGTGCAGATCCCAGGGACGAGGCTGCCGCCGAGAGGCCCAAGGATGCGTCAAACACCGAGGCGAGCACTCGCAGTAAGACCAGCGCCTCTCTCTTTATCCTGGTGATTTATTGGGCATGCCGTAGTTTGTATACTACTCGATACCGTTTCCGATTTCTTAGAGTCAAAGCTCGATTTCATTTCTTTTCATTTTATTTATTATGTCTCTCAGGGCCCGTAGGCATTACAGAGAGGAGTGGGACACAGTAAATGGAACAAAGCAAATAACAATGAAAACGCAAAAAAATACAAAAAACAACTACTAAACATCATTTAACACGTTAGTGATGACACAGTGCATGGAATAAAACAAATAACAATGAAAATGCAAAAAATACCAAAATAAATTACTGCTAGACATCATGTAACAGGTTAGTATTGTCAATCTTAAATTTATCTGAGGCAGTGATTGTGACAACGGCATGCGGGAGGGCGGTTCCAGTCAATCGAGGTTTGAGGCAAAAAAGAGGCATTAAAAGTAGATGTGCTGCAATGGGGGATCCCAACTTTTAATTGATGATCGGTGCGTGATGATATGTAAAATAGTTCAGAAAATAGGGCTTGGCGGAGAGTAGGGTTAGAGTGATATATCTTATGGAACAAGCGTAGACGGAATATCTTTCGGCGAAGAGAAAGAGTGAGCAAGGATAGAGATGCTTTCATTAAGGTAGTGCTAGCTGTGCGATGAGGGTTAGAAAGTATAAAACGGGCGGAGCGGTTTGGAATTGATTCTACGGCAGATGCAAGGGTGATACCAGGGTTCCAGATTGAGGAGGCATATTCAAGTTTAGGGCGAATTAAAGTTTTATAAATATTTAGTAATATATATATATATATATATATATATATATATATATATATATATATATATATATATATATAAAGTATTATATTCACTGACAAATAGGTCCGTTTAAATAAGTCTAAAGAAGTGTAATGGGGAGTTTGGCGGTATGATCGATTACAGAGGAGCCGGAGGCTCTACGATATAAACAATGCTAATATTATCACGTTGAGTGCGACTAATGAACTGGATACCGATCACCTCGCAAATTACGCGAGTATTTCAAAGTTTACGTCAACTCCTCGCGTCACAAGTTCATGCCTACGCGGCAAATTATGGACAATTCCACGTGCTCGCTTGAATTCGCATCCCCGCATCTCAAATCAGGCTCAGTGTTGCCAGATGGTCCCACCAAAAAACCGCCAATCGACTGGGGGGTATAGCCCAAATATAGCCAAAGCCGTAAAACAAATATAGCCCAAAATAGCCAAGACTAAAACAATGAATTTTAAGCCTTATATTGACAATTTCTCACGCTCATACAATACATGTGTTACAATCTCTGTTTCAATCCTCAGATGCACCACCTTTTGTGCACATTATCTTACTTGTGAATTTTTCAAGAAAAGCTTCGGAAGGATGAATATCCGTCCAAAACTGGCCCTTCCTTCGTAGGTTTTCAGAAGTACAAAACACACAAAGACGGCTTTATTGTGAAGCCCGTGAGATATGATCATAAAATAAAAGAACAAAATACAGAAGCAGAACAGTCATAACACTGGGTGTTTCAAGCCAGAACCCCAATATCACAGGTCCTTACTAATATCCATCCCCCTGGCTTCTAGTCAAAATGTCCAACGAGACGAAATGTCCATCGAGTCAAAATGTCCAATAGGCCACGTGATACCCGTGTCAAAATGTCCATCGAGACGAAATGTCCAATCGGGTCAGAATGTCCATCGAGTCAAAATGTCCATCGAGACGAAATGTCCAATCGGGTCAAAATGTCCATCGAGTCGAAATGTCCATCGAGACGGAATGTCCAATCGGGTCAAAATGTCCAATCGGGTCAAAATGTCCATCGAGTCAAAATGTCCATAGAGACGAATATCCAAAGGGGTCAAAATATCCACGTCAAAGTGCTCAAGCTTGGTTAATTGACTACCCACAACCCTCGGTTTAACACAAAAGGCGCTAAATTCTTTTGTTTTCTCTTTTGTGGGTTAAGGTCAGTGGAGACACAATTTTGTTCAAGGATTTCGCCCCACTGTCGGGGGGACACTGGGTCCGATCGGCCGGTGACCCCGTTTAACACAAAAGGCGCATCTCGGTACGACAAGATTCGACCTGGTTTGCCCATGGTTTGCCTTATTTTTGCGCACGTCTGCATTATTCAAGACATAAACTGTTCAGAACAAGATCTCGAGTCTTGCTACCTGAAGAAACAAGTTACTACAGGTTCTCGATTCGACACGTTCTTCTAGAATCTGGTGAGTGGAAATTTTTTTTTTTTTTTAATATCCAAGACAATTGTTTTACCAACCAGTGTCTACACTCGGAGATTATCAGTTGCCTGTGCGCGGGTCAAACAGAAGTAGGGTATTAATTATGTCTTGCTGATTAGTGAAATGTTGCTTGAGTTCTACACGAATAACTAGTTTTCGAATGGTTCATTAAAACTTTTAATGTGATATATTCTTATTATTATCTGCAGATTCAACGAAAGGTACAGCGACGACATCAGATCAGCAT